CTTATCCCACCCTTGTTCCCTTTCCCACCTCTTCTACCCAGTTCCCTCCCTCCACCCACCTCCAATGCCTATTAGCCTTCTGCAGGAGATTCAAGCATCCTCTTTGAGCCCTCCTTGTTACTTAGCTTCGTTGGGTCTGTCAATTGTTGCATGATTATCTTGTATTTTATGCTGATATCTACTTAAGAGTACATACCATACATGTCTTTTTGGAGCTTGGTCACCTCACTCAGGATATTTTCTAGTTTCATCCATTTTCCTGCAAACAAGTTTCTGACTCTGATGCTTCCCTTTGGATCCTGTTCTCCTAACTAGGGTGCCTTGTCTGGCCTCAGTTGGGAGAGGATGTGCCTAGTTCTGCAGCAACTTAATGTGCTAGGGTGGGTTGGTACCCATGGGGTCCTCTCCCTTCTCAGGAGGAGGGGAGGGGAGCGATGGGGTGAATGGCTGTGATCAAGATGTAAAGTGAATAAATTAATTAATTAATGGAGGAAAAAAGAAAATTGAAAATTCTCTTCCTTTATCAGTTGAAGCTGTTGTCTGAATAAAAGCACCAGAGTATGGTGGTGACATGCCTGAAATCCCAGTATTTGGAAAAGGCAGGTGAACCTTTATGAGTTTGAAAGCAGCCTGGCTTACATAGCAGGTTCCAGGCCAGCCAAAGCTACAAAAAGAAAGAGAGAGAGGAGAGAGAAGAAATAATGCTAACATGAGCTATATGAGACCTTGACTTCAAAAAGGGGGGTACAGAAGGAAGGGAAAAATAAGTGTCAAGATTTAAAGTCATAATGAAGCCCCACTGAGCTGTATTGTCTAGGTACTGACACTGTACTCCCTAAATCAAGGGGGACTTCAATATAATTACAGTAAGGGAGAATGAACAAAAATTTTTTCCATCAGGTAAAACAAAGAATGAAAATCTAATTGGAAATTATACCGGCTAAAGTGTAGATTTGGGTATAAAATGGGCAAATGGAGATTTTTATATAGATAGGTTCTTATATTGACAGTTGGCACATGGGAGGTATTTCTTTGGAGTTTCTCTTATTTGTTTGTAGACCAGGCTGGCCAGGAATACAGAGAGCTCTGCCATCCTGCCACATGACTGCTAGGATTAAAGGAATAGATCTAGATGTCTTTGTAAAATGTGGGATGATTGAATAAATGAAGGGAACTAAAAGGAGCATGCCAGGGTGAGGGGAGTTAGACTTGTTAGTAGAGAAAAGCTATAGTTGTAAGTTCATTGCTCCCTACCTATGTGATCTTAGCAGGCCCCACTGCTCTAGTTTCTGCTTCTTCAACTAGAAAAAAAAGAACAATGAAAACAGACCCAGTGTGCTGCCTTCAGGGATCTTGTGATGACAAAACTGACTTCATGAAAAGGAAATGAAATTGTAGTTTTTCCCATAAGGGAGAAATTTGTTACATTAGAGAATGTACAAGAACAATAAGCAGTCACTTCTGTGTCGCTGTGAGCTTCTCGGGAATTCCTGTGTACTTGATATGACATACCACGTACCTGTTACCTTATAGTTCTACAGGTTGGAAGCCTAGTGTGAGAGTCCCACTTGCTGGAATTCAGCTGTCATCTGGGTTCTGCTCCTTTTCCAGAAGCTTAGAAAAGATTTTGTTTGTGTGCCTTTTTCGAGCTATCACTACCTACCTATATTCTTTGGCTTGTGGCCCTTTCAAAGTCAGTAGCAGGCTTGCACATGACCTCCCATTTCCACATCTCTCTGATGCCTACAATTCTGCCCAACTTTAAGAGAGGCTTTTTGTTTTTATCAATGTGTGTGTTGAAAAGAGATCCATCCCCAGATAATTACATACTCTCCCCATATTGAGACTTGCCACCTCTGCAAAGTATTAAAAGTCTCTAATTGTGGGGGTTCAGATGAACATCATTGGAGGCCTTAATTCTGCCTTCACACCCGTAATCTTTACATTGCTGTAAAAGGTGTACAGAAGTCTAGTAGAGAAAACATTAAATGGCTCTCAGAAAGCATGGATTCTAGCCAGTCATTGTAACTTCGTAGTTCTATGTTACAAGTTAAGGAGTTGATTAGTGGTTCTGAATCTGACTGTGTACTACAGAATGAGAATTTGCCCTTTTAGCTTAGCTCCTCCTGGTGCTCCTGGTCTCTAGACTATAGTTTTGAGAAGGACTGAACTAAATCATCTATAAGATGCTTTCTCTGAGGTCCTCATAACCCCTGCAGGATATCTCTTCTTTGGGTGCAATGCAGTCAGTTTATTGTAATTTTTAAAATTTTGTTTTATTTATATGAGTGTTTTGGCTGCATGTTTGTGTATATATCACATTAGTGTCTGGTGCCCCAGGAAGTCAGAAGAAGGTGTGTCATCCCTTGGAACTCTGGATTTGGTATTAAAAATGGTTGTGAGCCCCATGTAGGTGTTGGAAACCAAACTCAGAGCCTCTGGAAGAGTAACAGTGTTCTTGACCATTGATTCATCTCTCCAACTCCATATCATGCTTTTTAGTTGAAAGAAGCAAGTATCATTTTATTGATGCAATTTCTTGGTGAGTGATGAGTTCACAGTCTTCATGAAAAAGACAAGACATATGGTCTGGGCTGTTTGGGAGCAGGCTGCTTTGAGAGGTCCTTCCTGCCGGGGACAAAACAGCTGGTGTTGAGATAGAAAGGAACAGGTATCCATGTACCTGCCCCTTTTCTTCTCTGTCTCTATCTGTACATAAGTACTAACAAGGCCACTTTGTGGGTGATTGTTCAATGTTTGGTCTGTAGGACATGTAGTGTGCCATTGGCCTATAGTAAGACAACAGCAGTTCTGATCCAGCCACTTTTTAAAGTCTGCATTAGTGCTTTCAACACTTAAACGTTTCTGGGGTGAGCACTGTCAGTACTGTCCTTGAAGGTGGACTAAACAAAGATTAGGAAATTGGCAGGTAAGGCATAATGAGGCTGTGGGAGAGTCACTTACAAAGTAGTTACCTAGATTGTAGAGTGTGCAGTTAACCCTTCCTTGCCCAAAACCATCTCAGATAATATTTTAATAGTCCTTCTGTATCAATTATGGTGTGTTGACTATAAGTTGTAAAACCAATTAAAGAAGCAGAAGAGTATGTGTGTGTGTATTGTCCTGTAACAAGTCTGGAGATCGGAGTCCTCGGGTTGGTTGTCACAATGAGTCCAAGTCTCTCTTCACATACTGCTGTTCCTGCAGATGGGCTGGCTTTGTCAGGATTATCTTGTGTTGATTAGATGACTATCACAGATCCTGTTTTCTGTACTAAGAGAGGCTGAACAAGATGGTTTGTTTTTCTGTTTGGTTGTTTGGTGGGTTTTGTTTTGAGACATGGTCGCATTGTGTAGCACCTGGCTGTTCTGGAACTCACTGTGTATACCAGGCTGGCCTGAAACTCACAGATCTGCCTGCCTCTGCCTCCAGAGTGGTGGTGTTTTCCATCTTGTCCATATTTAAGGACAAAGCTTTTACAGAAGCTCTTTTGCTTAGACTTTCAAAAGTATTTGATGCACCATTCTTCAATGGCTACCATGAACTGAGATTCATCCTCTAAGATGGAGAAGGCTGAAACTCAAACCCTCTGGATAAATGAGTGCTTGGGTACCATTAAGAATAAGAAAAGTAGATAGTAGGAATAGCTGGCAGTTTGCCACTGACAGGTTGGCCATCCTCGTTTCTTTGGTTTGGTGATGAGGGGTTTGTTTGTTTGTTTGTTTGTTTTCTGAAGGAGGCATAGACCTTACATCACTTGGAGGTTTCACAAGTGCTCTTAACCGTCCTCGCTTTACTCCAAGCTAAATGGTCTTTGCTTTCTTCTCAGAGGTGCAAGGATACATGGTAAACATTTACTGATTTTATATATATATCCAAAATGATCTTGGCTCTTCTGAGAGGGAGTCATAAGGTCCTGCATCTTTTGATCTCCAGGAGACGTTCTTAGCTGTGACCTAGCCTTCTGCTACTTTACCCCAAACTGTACAGTGGACACGTGCATGTCCTGCCAGGTGAATGCATTAATCCAAATTCATAGCTATTTCATGGTGAACATTTAGGCTTCATAGTTGCCAGTGTTTTGGGAGCTCAGATGTGTGTGTGTAAGGAACACATACATTATATTTTCGTAAACCCAGGAACAAGCATCTATGTCTTCTCATGAGTTTTTCTGGTGGGTTATGGCCACACCCAGGAAGGATTAATAGTCTGCATCCTTCCTCTGGAGGGTCACATATGGACAGGATGAGTACTCACAGCAGCCACATCAAAGTGACAACAGAGATGCGCCCTACTTTAAGAAAATTTGACCATATAAGGAGGAACACTGACTGCAATTAGAGAATAGTGGCTCACATAGCCAGAAATTCATGGCAGGTTTCCTAGTATATTTAAAATAGGATTCATGAATAAAAATACCACTTGCATACAGGAACCCATATTTTCTGGAAAGAAAAATATACTTGTATTGGGCATTTGAGATAAGTAGATCAAAATTAAAAATAAAATCTTATAAATATAAGCGCTAGAAACCAAATTCCACTTTTAATTGTAAAATGTTTCTATATGTGTGTATATGTATCTACCTTACCTCTCCTCCTACACAAGATTTTTATGGCAGAAATAGAAGTGGAATCTACATGCAGTGCATAAGAGCAGAGAGAAATTTGTCAGTAGAGCATGGCAGTGGGTAAAATAGGCAGGTATGGCTAGCATACCCACTGGTGTGTCTGCCACATACTATATAGTGTCATTTTCTTGCCCTGGTGTATCCTTTTTGATTTGAGGTCATTCGTGAGGCCTGTCGTTAAAAACAGTCTGCTGGATCTCTTCCATGGTGTGGTCAGCGAGTTGTGGTGAGAGATTGACCAACCTATCCTACCACCACAGAATCCTGCAACCGCAGAGGCTATGCTGAGGTCTAACAGATGAGGTGAAGGGAAGGCCTGCAAGAGAGCCATTGGTCTGGAGTTAATGACATTCCTGTTTCTTCCTTTCAGAAATGCTCCCACTGCCAGGAGGCTGGCGCTACTTTGGGCTGCTACAACAAAGGCTGCTCCTTCCGATACCATTACCCATGTGCCATTGACGCAGGTAAGTTGGGACCACATACCCTTTTTGAGAGTATCCAGAAATCTAGAAGATACAAATTCATTATCTCTTCTTCTGTATATTTCTGTTGTCTCCCTTATGTCTCTTCTGTTTGTAAGTTCTAAAAGAATGTAGAGGGAGACTATGATGGAGTCATTTTTAAAAATAACTTTTGTTCATCTAATTCACGTTTGAGTTGCCTACTTAAGTACATACAACTCGGTAGTTTTTATGTTTTGGAGTTGAACAGCCATCACTCCAGTATATTTATCATTTAGATTTTCATAACCTTGTAAAACATTAACACCTTCCTTCCCCTCCCTCCAGCTGTTGGCAGCTACTGATTTACTTTGTTTCCATAGATGTGCCTATTACAGACATTTCATATAAATGGAATCATGTGCTATTTGACATTTTGGCTGGAGTTTTCATCTATGTAGCAGCATGTGTTACTAATACTTCTTTCATTTTCACTTCCAAATTATTATAAAGGGTGTGTAGTGTTGGATTTATATCCCTTTCATCAGTTGATGGGCATGGGGTTTGTTTCTACTTTCCACTACTATGAATCATGCTACCATGGTCACACAAGTCTTTGTATGGTCATAGAATTTCAATTTTTTTCATATGTTAATTCCATGTTTAACCTCTGGAGTTAACGATTTTCCAAAGTGTGTGTGTGTGTGTGTGTGTGTGTGTGTGTGTGTGTGTGTGTGTGTACATTTTAATACATTTTACATTCCCACAGCAATTGTATTAGGGTTCCAATTTTTTCAATATCCTTACCAGACATATCTACATGTCTTTATTATCACCATAGGCATCCCAGTGAATGTGAAATGCTCTATTGCTGTAGTTTGATGTTGTACTTCTCTAAAGATGTGTTTATTGGCCATTTTCACAGCTTCTATGGAGAAGTGTCTATTCCAGTTCTTTGTCGATTGTTAAATTGTTTTATTTATTGTGTCTTTTTATTGTGCAGTATTAGGAATTTAAGTACCCCTTACCAGATAAATGGATTACAAATATTTTCTTCCATTCTTTGAGCTTTTTTTCACTTTTCTGAAGGTATTCTTTTTTGTTTTTTGAAACAGGCTCTCATATAGCCCAAGTGACTTCAAGGAACATCTTGAACTCCTGTTCCTCCTGCCTCTACTTCCATAATGCTGAGATTATAAGTGTACACCACTATCTCTAATTTATATAATACTGAGGATAGAACCCAGAACATCAAGTACTCTACCAACTAAGCTATGTGCTCAGATCAGTAAAAGTTTGCTTTTGGTGAAGTCTAATTTATCCTATCTTTTTCTTTTGGTGTCATCTTAAGTAATAAATGCCTAATCCAAAGTGGGTTTTTTTTTTTTTTCTAAGAGTTTTATAGATTTAGATCTTTTATTTTAGTCTTTGACTATTTTGTGGAGTAGCAGTTCATATCTATTCTTTTGTGAGTAGCTATGCAGTTGTCTTAGCTCTTTTATAGAATAATCATTCTTCCATCATTGAACAATATGATTCAGGCACTTTGTTAAAAATCACTATGCCCACTATGCATGGGTGTTCTTGCCTCTATCCAATCTTTCACTGTTATGATTGCTATGGCTTTGCAGTAGGTTTTTAAACTGGGAATGGTGAGCTGAGTACAGTGGTGCACGCCTGTAATCCCAGCACTTGGAGAGGCAGGTGGATCTCTGTGAGTTCAAGGCGAGCCTGGTCTTCAAAGTAAGTCCAGGACAGCCAAGCCTACACAGAGAAACTTGTCTGGGAGAAAAAAAGGGGGTGTGTGGTAGAATGCTTAAGTTAGTATGTGCAAGGCCCTGGGTTCATTCTCCAGGAATCTCCCCAAAAAACAACAGGAGCAAGAAATTTGGAAAAATTGTGTCTTCTCCAACGCTCTAAGATTGTTTTGACTGTACTGGGTTCTTCTTTGTTCTATATGAAATTCAAGATAAACCTAGCCATTTCTGCAAAAAGAAGACTATTAAAATTTTGATAGGGATTTCACTGAGTCTGTAAATGAAGTGGAAAGCAATGTTATGTTAAGTCATAGAAAAGTGGGTGGATGAGCGAGGGAGAGTGGGATTGGGAGGGAATAAGGGAACGGGATACAGCTGTTATACAGAGTTAATAAAATGTGACTAATAATAAAAAAAATAAAATTAAATTTAAAAAAATAAAAAGAAAAGTGGATGGAACTGGATACTATATTGAGCAAAGTAACCCAGACTTAGACAAGTATTACACATTTTCTCTCTTGAAGATCGTAGATCTTAATTTGTGTGCGTGTATGTGTGTGTTGGTTTGGATGTTAATTACAAAATTAAAAGGGAGACTGTGAAGGAAGGAGAAATAGTTTAGTTTAGTTGGGGGGATTATAAAACATGTCACATGAAAAGTGGAGGAAGAAGACTGATGGGGTGGAGGGGCAGGGAAGGACCAACAAAAGCAGTACATGACAGTGCTAAAATGGAACCTTATTGCTTTGACTGAGGGCAAGTTGTGGTGCCTGGGCTGTAGTAGGGAGGCAGGTGGCACTGCTCCATCACACCTCACTCCCTTGAGACAGCTTACCATTTTGTTGTTTTGAGCTGAGCTGGCTGCTAGCAAGCCCCACTGATTCCTCTGGTCTCTGTTTCCCCCTCTCCCTAGCAATGGAGGTGTCCATTACATTCTTGGTGTCCTAGTTAGGTTTCTCTTTTGCTGTACTAAACACTGACCAAAACCAACCCAGGGGAGGGAAAGTTTGTTTACAACTCTCAAGTCATTGCTAAGGACAGGAACCTGGAGGCAGGAACTGAAGCACAGACCGCAGAGGAATGTTGCTTACTGGCTTGCTTTAGTGGCTTGTTCAGCTTTCGTTTTCTTTCTTTCTCCCTCCCCCTACCCCCCCTTTTTTTTTTCCTTTTCAACCTATTTTTATCTTATATGTATGAGTGTTTACCTACATGCATGTCTGTGTACCATGTGTATACCTGGTGTCCTCAGAGATCAGAAGAGGGTTTTGGATTCCCTTTAACTAGAATTACAGATGGTTATAAGTCACCATGTGGATGCTGAGAATCACAGCCACTTCTCTTAACCTTGTGCCATCTCTCCTTCTTAGCTTGTTTTCTTATACAACCCAGAACCGCTTTCCCCGGGGTAGCATTTTGGGAGGCTTGAGCCCTCCCAAATCAGTCATTAGTCAAGAAAAGGCTCATACAGACGCACCTAGAGGCCAGTATTATGAGTCAGTCTCTCAATTTCCTTCCTACCCAGGTGACTAGTTTGTGTCAAGTTGACATCTCCATGTCTTCCTGTCGTTCTAACGTCTTCTCTCCAGGTTTCTATTAGTTACTACAAAGAACAAAAAAGGCCTGGAGGACTTTAAAAGGCGTTGTGCGTAGGCATGTGTACAGTGTCCAGAGAGCCGCTTCATGGGCAGGAAGGAAAGCCTTGAACCATTATTCCAAGGGATTTAGATTTTTTTGACTGTCATTTTTTTCATCCTTTCTCCTCCTCCTCTCTCATCCTTCTTTTTCTCCTCTCTGTACTTCTTTTTTAAAGGGTAGGTTCTCATATAACCCATCCTTGCCTCAGAGTCACTGTTACTGAGGATAACTTTGAGCTGATCCTCCCCTTCTCCAAGTGTTGACAGTGTAGGCATGTACCTCCATGCTTGGTCTCATTCTCCCTGTTGACAAGTTTTCATGTTGTCTGAACTGTTCACCCTAGCTTGTGCTCAGACTGCTAAATCTTTTGAGAGTCAAGCAGTTGCCTTTTCTCATGTTGATTATGTTGCTTGTAGCTAAATCAGAACATCTGGTTTTCCTCATTTGAAGCTTCTCTTAAATGGGGATCCCCAAGTGTTAACTTTGGAGGGATGGTTTGAGTGGGGAACTGCACAATAGTTGACTGTCCCCGCCAGCGGTTGGATGAGCAGTGGGCTCCCCACAGAGACTGTTGAGAAACAGAAGCTTGCATACATAGACAAGTAACCGCTCACTTCAGGCACACCCCATGTGTATCCTCATCAGCTGTGTTAACACCCATGTTCGCAACCGCAAGGCCCCTGGGGTGCTGCTCCTGGCTCCCAGTCTACTTTCTGCTACAGTTTCCAGGGCTAAAGCACACTGCTCACCGGAATGTTCCACAGTAGTAGAAATGCTGCTCTGGGGTGGTAGCTGCAGCCAAATGTGACCATTGAGTACAGAGAGAGTGAGAGAGAGAGAGAGAGAGAAGGAGGGAGGGAGACAGGGAGAGAGAAGAGATTCAAGACAGGGATTCTCTGTGTAATTCTGGCTGTCCTGGAATTTGAGCTAAAGACCCAGCTGCCTCAAACTCAGTGATCCACTTGCCTCTGCCTCCCTGAGTACTGAGATTAAAGGTGTGTGCCAAAACTACCTGGCAGAAATTATTTTTTTTTAAAATTTAAAGGCAAATAGCTATCTATGACTAATGACAGACTCAGAGCTATCTTAATGAAGCTTAGGCAGTATGGTTGGATTCTTAGGAAAGGGTAGTGGGAACACCTTTCTTCTAATGGAAGTTTGCCAGACCACCTCTTCAAGGCCTCCTTCATTGAGGGTAAGTAAGTAAATGATAACTTTCGATTTTTGTTCCAGACTATCATATGCTTACCAAATACCTCACCCCCAATCCTACCCCCACTAAGCTCATAATATCTCTATTTAACAAACCTAGCCAAGTTCCCAGCAAGACAGAGGGTTCTGGTTTGGAGGTATGATTCTGGGTCCTCTGGCTCTGCCACAGCTGATGTACTGTGCACTCCACGAGTGCAGAGCTGCTATCAAAGATACAGCTTTATAAGCTGCAATACTTCGGTCTTTTTGATGATCCAAGTTGCAAGGGCCTAGAGTCCTGCACTGCTCTGCAGGGATGGATTTTGTGCTATTCTGTGCAATGTGTCCTATATTGAGGGAATATGTGTTCATTGACTGATTTTTATTATTATTATTATTTGGAAGGAGGTGTTGGTTTTTCAAGACAGGGTTTCTCTGTGTAGATATGTGCCACCATACCTGGCTTTACTGACTGATTTCTTTAATTACTAAATCATGATAAGTCCCTGGGTTTAAGAGGGCCTAATCTGTTGGTGGACTTAGGAGCAGCATAATATTTTCATCTTTGCCTGGCTGCCAGCAGCCAAATCTTTAAAGAATTGTTGGTGCCTCCAGAAAAACTTTCGTTGCTGGGATGTCTACATGGAAATAGAATCTTTGTTTCAGGAGTTTCTGTGACTCCCTACAGTTTCCCCATCTTTTTTACATCATCATTAGATTTTCTGTGTTGGTTGCTACATTACAGGAGATTTTGGCTCCAGGTAAAGGATACAGTAACAAGAACATGAGTTTTGATTCTGGGAAAATGTATTAATACAAAGAACATAACAATTAAGACAAGGAATAAGGGTTGGAGAGATGGCTCTGAGGTTAAGACCACTGGCTGCTCTTCCAGAGGTCCCGAGTTCAATTCCCAGCAACCACATGGCTCACAACCATCTATAGTGATACATGGTACTTTCTTCTGGCATGCAGACATACATGTAGGCAGAACATTGTATACATAATAGATAAAAAGGAATAAGGCTGTTAGCTCATTAATAATTTTACTGTTTAAAGAATCTTGCCTAGAGGGGAAACACAGCTGGAAATTTTACTTTCTGCTGCAGACTTTGATGTTTGTGTAGTGAGGTGAGAGCCAGGGTGGGTCATGACAAAACACAAGGGTCTGGCCTCTCCTAGGAAGGACTCTCAGCACTGAGGAGTCATTTCTAAAGCATGTTATTCCTCTCTGTGTGGTTCAGGAGTGTCCACAGAACTATAGTGTCCATCTGTGCTTGTATGTGGACGACAGTGATGAGGTAGATTGCAACTGAGCTAGCTGGTAACTGTGTCTAGTATCCAGGGATCCAAAGGATATATTAGACCCCTCTTCTACCTTATCCTTATTAACATTCAACCTGAATTCTGTATGTATGTTGTACCTGAGCTTTATGGAGCTTGTTAAGAAACACTCAGCAAAGTCACCCTAGCCTTTAAGCTTAGAGGGTCATGAAAGTAGCATTCTCTCCTAGAGGAGGTATGGCAGTGATAATTGTTTCTGGAAACCATCTTGTTGACTGGACCACTTTGTGAGTCTTTTTCTAGCTCATGTGGTGATCTCTTCTTTGATATTTACCCTGTAGGAATTCTGACTAGGCCCTGTGGACTACAAGGTAGTTTCAGGGCCTTAGAAAAAACAAATCAGGTGATTATTGCTGGCTGACCTCCCTCTGCCTCCCCAAGTCCTGGGATTACAGGCGTGTGCTACCAGGTTGCTACCACACCTGGCTAGAAAAGGCATTTTCTAACTTTAGGAAACATTTTTATTAATGGTCTGTCACAACTAGTCACACTGTTGTGTCAGTCTGAGAGTAAATGAACTACCTGTGACTTTCTGATGGTTCCTTTTGCAACTGATATGTTCCTTATCTTCAGTAGTTTTGTAAATTTTGTGGCCAAGCTTCACAGATGCCATGTTTGACTGGGCCTTGAGACTAGTGGCACAGTGCTTCTGGAGCTCAGGTGAGGAGACACTGCTTCCCTGAGCTCCAGTTGTCTGTCTCCTGCTGTTCATAAACTCACTGGCAGATTGGAGCAGCAGGAGTCTGGGTCATGCTATGTACTTGTGGGTTTTAAATTAACACATTTCGTTTACTGCTGTGCTTATTGCATGCTGGAGGAAAGGCCTGGAGGCTAGAGACAACTGCCTGAGTTCTTGGGCCTTGATCTGAGAAAGCTGATAGCCTACCCTGTAGGTGAGGTGGTCTGATAATGCTGAGGCCAGCCACAGTAGTCTTAACTGGTTTGTTTAGGCTCCTGAGGACCTGAGTTTTCATTTATGTAGTTCTCTGCTTCTTATATACTATTACACTTGAAATCTGTGGCTCTACAGACTGCTAATCTGGATCTCATTTTAAAGTGATTAAATAGTAAACTTAATAAGGTAAGTGCCATGGCTGCCTCTTGCTGTGGTGCTCTCTGAGAATGTATGATTAGTATTTATTAACATTTTGCCACCACGTCCTGCAGTGGTGACCTGGCTGTCAGTCTGTCAAAGCTATGATGTACGTTGAAGTCATTAATTAAATTTATCTGCCTTGCTCCACACTGCCCTTGTGCCTTGAAACTGGACTTCCTAGAGGCACACGTGTTCTTGCTGCCGTCAGGAATGCTGTCACCATGTTAAAAGTTGGGATTCATCATTCTTTTCTCCAGGGATTAAAATCATCCTTGTGGGACTATTTCCCTCTGAAATGTTCAGTGTAGATTGTGTGATTATGGCAGGAGTGTCTTCCTTGCGTCTCTGGGGGCTATGGGATGCAAGTAATAACAGGGAGTCCGGGCCAGTCACCTTTCTCTTCCGAATACTGGACTTTCTGTATGGAGGACAAAAAGGGTCACTGTGTTTCAGATAGTTTTAAGGAGCATTGATCCTATGGAAAACACTATTTTGGAGATTAGCTTTGATTGTTAAATAATTGTCATTTTGAAAATACAGAGAAAAAAGTTTTAATGGAAATCATCTGTTTTCTTCCTACAGGAAAAAGGACACTAATAATTTTTGTAGAGTTCTTTTAAGACTTTTTTCTAAATGAATACAAAACATTTTAATGAAATGAAAAGTTTACTTAAATTTGTATATCCTGGTTGTTAGGGTGATTTTTGTATCATGATACCATGGTTATTTACCCGTATCATCAGCCACTTTAAAATACTAGTTTTGTTTTGTTTTGTGACTGGTGTCATGTTTTAATGTACCATAGATTATTTTGAATGCCTCTAATGTTTTCCTGTTAGGAACTACAGTGTGGTCAAAGAAGCAGAGAATAAGAGAAAAATAATTGTGTGTCTAAGGTGCAGATCCACATGGTGTTGAACGTTCAGTGACTTGAAATCCAGGCAGACCCAAAGCTCCTGGAAATCCCTTATCTTCAAGGGGGAAAAAAGACAGCAGGACAGGGTCTATACTCCAGCCATCATGTGAGCACCACACGGCAGTTCTCTGGACACTCCACTAAAAGCTGGGGAAAATTCATGTGTCCGATGGCATCGAGCTTTTCCATAAGAACTGACAGTTTTGCTTTTTTCATATAAAGTGTTACATATATACACTTGGGATTAGAAAGGAAATAAGTCAATATTGTGGCCTCTTAAGTTTCATGTCTGTCAGTCCAGACAATATAGCTGTGTTTTGTTAAGCATAGTATGTCTCATCAGACTGTCTTGTTTTGTAGATTGTTTGCTGCATGAGGAGAACTTCTCGGTGAGGTGCCCCAAGCACAAGGTGAGTCACGGACCCCTGCACTCTCAATGGGGCTGGCTGTGTAGCTGGGGAATAGGAGTAAGCCCCAGGCACTGAAGACTTCACCCATGTCTGTTCCAACATATACGTCTAGCTGTAACCTTCTCGCCTTTGGAAGGGTCACTGAATTGAAGGAATCCTGGGGCATAGGCCCAACACACTCATGGTAGTTTGGGAAGAGGTGGGGTTTTTTTTTGAGGAGAATGTCTGTTTATTATGAGGAATTAAAAGCCAGGCAGTGGTGGTGCACACCTTTAATCCCAGCACTCAGGAAGCAGAGGCAACATCTCTCTAAATTTGAGGCCAGCGTGGTCTATACAAGTTCCAGGAAAGCCAAAACTACAATGAGAAACACTGTCTCTAAAAACCAACTAACCAAACAAACAAAAAAGATCAGACTCAATGAACTTATTACTGCTTTCTATTTGAGTTTAGTAGAACTCCATCCAGTTTGTGGATCAATTCATAATGAGTTGATAGATGGCCTGGTTTAGAAACATTTTTCAGACTAGGAAATAAAGGGAGATAAAGCCAACTTCAGAGCTTGTGGTCCCTCATTCTCTCTCAAGTAGTTCAGCAGAAACAGCCCAGCAGTATATAGGTGGTAGGCTGCCACTTCCACTTCCCTGTCTGTTTATTGGTTACTTTCTTTAGGAAAGGTAGAAAGATGAAACTAGTAACCCATTTCTGGGGTACCACACGCAGAAGGGGGTGGGATAGGGTGAAGGAGGAGGGCCAGAGTGCTGTCTTCTGCTGCCCATGTCTCCTGCACTTGGACCTGTGTAGCTGAGGTCACACTGACACCTAGTGGTCATTGACTACTCCATCGCCAAATAGGGCCAGAAAATACTGAAAACAGTCATGTGTAGAGGACTGTCCTCAGAATGCTCCTGAGAAATTATGCTTTTTTTTTTTTTTTTTTTAAAGAATGATTTTCAGAGATGGTCTTAGGATCAGACAATATTTTCTTTATTTTTATTTACAATCACATTTTACCTCAGAAAGCCCAGTCTGGATTTCTCCTGTTTACCATTCAGTACTGACTTCTGCTTTTTATTTCCTTTTCCATGTGCCATTCCTGTCCTTCATCTACCCTTCCTGGTTCCCACACTTTGTATTTCCTATTCTGTCCCTCCTGTCTTGTCTCCTCTTGGCTTTGGCCGGCATCAGCCTCCCCTTCCATGCCCTCTCCCCCCCTTGCAGAACAAGACCACGAAAGGCAGCCTCAGCACAGAGCAGTCGGAGCGGGGGTGAGGGGGTCAGTGTGCACGTGGGAATGGACAGCAAGCACAGGTGAGTTGGGGCCTGCTGAGCTCCCACCACCTCCTCACCCAGCTCCATGTGTGTCCTGGTCTTTGGCCTCTTATGGCTCCAGGCTGCACCACCAACATTTAGTCATGTGGATTAATAAAGTAAGAACAGAATGGTATTCCATTTGTTGCTTAGCTTCCTGAATGTCTGCACGAAGGTGGGGGGGGGGCGGGTTCAGAACTGTCTGCTGCCAATTGGAGTCACGACAACTTTTCTAAAGTCAGCCCTTTAGTGAAGAGCTAGCAAATAAGCACATGAGTGATCGTTTTAAAGGCGGAGCTTCCAGGACAACCCTTTGCCAGCAGCACGCTCTTTTGGCTCTGTCTTAGAAGAGTCTAACCAGAGGTCACTTCTTTAAGTTTTGTTTTTGCTTTAATTTACATTTTGGTAAGGCTTATATACTATGTTTTCTTTGGGGGGGGGGGAACAATATTCTCTAAATTTTATTATTTGTAATCCCACCCCAGTACTGTGAAGAATTCCTTTTTAAACAAACAAACAAAAAAAAAAGCATAAAGCAAAGGAAAATTCAGAGATGTACTGGACTTCACCATCCAGTTTAATTATATTGTTAACAGTGTCACAGGATTAAACTGACTGGTGTCCTCATGCAGCCATAAGAATGCCGTTTAGAAGGCATGGGTCCTGAAAGTGTGTGGTTCAAAGTAGGGTGTAAAGAGAATAGAATTGACAAGACATGAGTCCTTGTTGCTTCAGTGGGCAGAGGTCCTAGCTGTCTTGAAGTGTTATCTGAGGAATTGTTCTCTAAATGGAGATCATCTCCCACAGCTTCAACAGGCCTACTCTCTGTGGAGTATGTCCTTTCCCCTGGTTACATCTGGGAGTTTTTTGCCATTTTCTGGAAAAATCATTAATTTGAAGAACAGTTGAGTTCACCTGAGAGTATGTGGTCTTCCTCCTCTAAGAAAATGTTGAATTGGTGGTTCATTTACTGACTTGAGAGAAAGCTGCTGTACACCCTGCCGTGGCCTAGGTCTAGACTCAGATCAGGGCTCCTGTAGGGGTACTGAGTGCTTTGCTGTAGTTCTTTTTCTCTTTGTCTGCCTCTTCGAGGAAGCAGAACAGAGTGTAAAGGGTGGGTGGGAGCGACTTTACTTGTTCTTAAGGCACAAGATCCAAACATGAATACTTATGAGCTGACAAAAAGGCATCGTCGGTTCTGTATTTCTAGAAGCTGCAGGTTTGTGCCTGCTGTGTACTTGTTATAACCCTCAAGACAAAGTGTATATATACACTTTGGCTGTATATAAATGTGTTCTGGAGAACTCTTTACATTGGTTTTCAGTGGGACTCCCTGGGCTTGAAGGCCGCTGTGCCTAAGTAGGCTCTGTGTCAGTGCCTCTCTCTATTGGCCCTGATGGTTAGACTCTAATGGGGGGCATGAAATATGTTCCTGAAGGCTTGGCTAAGGTGAAAACTAGTTCATTTGGAACTTGGTTTTGTCCTGAATTCTAGCCTAAGTTGTAGAAATCTGGACCTTAGTAGCCTGTTAGGTACCTTGGTCGTCCATCTGTTGGGGACCTTGGTCATCATCCCTTCTTGGGCCCTTCCAGCTGCAGCCCTGGACTTTGAATAGAATGGTAAGTCTTACCTCTGTCCTTCCTGTGCTGTTATCAGGCCATAATAGACCTGAATGTCATGTGGGGTTGGGCCTCAAGTCTGTTGAGGTTGTAGCAGTCACCTATTAAGTAAAAGGAAAGATCCTGTGTTCGTTCTTAGTATCCAGAATATTCTTTGTGTAAACTCTCCCCATAATGTAAATTTATTTTTCTTGGTTTGTTGCATTAAGGTCAGTGTCCTTCAAGTGCCAAACATTTGCTGAAGTCTCAGTGGTCAGGGCCAAAAGCATATCACTGTCCTCAAGGAACACTCATGCACAGTATGGAGAGCCACCGTTAATGGGGACCTATACAAGGAAGGGAAAGGGCAGTGAATGTGCATATGTGTCCTGACCTACTGGCACCTCACTTTCCAAACAGAATGGTGAGGAAGGTAGCTGCATGACTGAGCTTAAAGTCACACAGTATCTGTGTGCTTCTGTTTCTTGTGTAAAGGGAGAGAGGATAGTGATAAACTCAGGAGGAACTGACGACAAGACCTCGGCAAATACTGAGCACACTGGCCACTGCATGCTACCAGCTGTGTGTTTCCGAGAGCTACAGCTTCTCTGTCGAGCTAGGGGCTAAAAGTTGCCACGCCAGCAGGTAGGGGTGTGCACTTGTCTCCACCAAGCTAAGAACATAGAATAAGGGAAGTCTCTGGACAGCTGCCCAGGAGGTCACCTCCTCTCCCCCCACCCCACCCCCATTTCTGAGAATGAGAAAGCATTATGATAGGCCTGTAGTGTTGAGATTGTTATTCTCTGGCTTTATTGCAGGTTTGGACAGGGGCTCCTCTACATGGCTTCCCTAAAGTGGCGCCCTGTCCTGGGTGCTAGATACACCCACCCACATGCCCTGCACAGAGCAGCCATGGAAAAAAAGGAGTGGCATCTTCCCTGCTCCCTCTGAGCAACACACAGCCCATCCACAGATGAATAAGTGTTACCCCAACCCTATGTTCATCCAGGAAAGTGTTGCTGGGGTTACGCCTCCAAAAGGATACCCTTAGTCTCTCGCATCTCCCTTATAACCTAAGCCGATACTGGGTCAGAATTAGGTTTCTCTCAGTTCTTCCCTCTAGGTAAGAATCACAGGTACTTCAGAGAGGAGGCTACCTCTGAATCTTGGCATAGTTGATCTGAGTGATGCTTGCTGCAGTTGGGAGAAACGGGCTGAGAGTTTGGTGTGGAAGGATGCAAAGGAAGCCCTCTCAGGTTCAGGCCACAAGTTATATGGGGCGAGTCCAGAGAGAAGCTCCACCTGCTGAACATCAGAAGCTCATTGTTTTGTAGTTGTGGAGATAGATCCCAAGTTCCAGGCAAGAGCTTTGCTACTGAGCTACCCTTGTCACATCACCATTCTTGGATAAACATTTTGGCTTTCCAGTATCAACTTCCCTTATTCCCCTAAGTGTTAGGATTAGAGACAGTAGCCACATGCTCAGTGAGATTTCTTCACGTTGAAATGGCAGAGAACTCACTTGACATAAGACTGAGGCATAGCTACCTCCTCTCAGCCATGTCTTACAAAATGAAACAAAGTACATGCAACCTAGTTAGCAAAAGATTGGGTAGCTGTATCCTCTAATTCTGCATTGAACTAGCTGCGTGCTTTGTCCGAAAGAGTCTCCTTCCTGAAGTTGAGCTTCCCCTTGAAGATGGAGTAAAGGTACCTTTGTGCAGTCATAAAGCACCTGTATCCCCAGAGCTGGGTCTGGATTGCAGAATGGGTTGCACTGTGTATACTGCTGCCTCTACCAAGTGTCTTCCTCTTTGCTGGTCTTTTCTGTGAAGTATTTAGCAAGGGCAGGTGTACATCCACGTGCTTATGAATGGTGCTTTCTTAGGTCCTGCACACACCCCTTCCTTCTTAGCTGTTGCTGTTGGTAAACTTTGTGGAAGCAGATAACAGATGGTGGGCCTGATTTTTCCTCAAGTTTATCTGTTGGTGGTGAGAAAAGGAGAGACTTGAAGAAAAGACAGAGAAATCTCAAGAGACACACAGTTGCTGACTATGCAGTGATTAGCAGAAAGCAAGGATGAGAGTGAGTTGTCATCAACAATGGCTTTTGGTGTAATTTTTCTGGACTAATTCCTTGGAAACTCATGTCTCCCTAAGCCCTTCTGACGTAAGGCAGACGATGTGACACTCCTCAGAGTCTTGTTGAACAATCCATTTGCCCTACATGGGTCATATAAACAACCTCCTGAAACCTGAAATGGTAGAAGAGAGATGGCAAGGGGCCTCTTGAGCACCTCAGGCTCCTGGGGAGCCAGCAGAATTGAAACCTCCAGCTTGATGGAGGCTCCAGAAAATGGGCTAGCGCCTATCCCACCTCCCCATCAGAGACTCTGAGAAGTGTTAGTTGTATAAAGAACAGACTCAACTAGAGACAGCTGGGTGGGTGCTGTAGATTTTATTGACAAGGTACTCTTAGTCACTTTTATGAGGGCTGAGCCTTGCCACAAATTGCTGAGCCAACCATAGACCCTCAGTGCATACTATGCTGCCAAAGATTCACACACCATACTCTCAAACAGGACCCAGCCAAAGAAGTCAAGAAATCCTCTCCTGTTTTGGCCCCTTCCATGTAAGGCCCATTAGCTTGGGTCATTGCTGCCTTAACACACGTTTGGTCCAGGCCATATGATAGTGCAGATACTGAGCTTGAATGTGTTCAAAATCAACAGAAAGGCCTGAGATCCCTGTTGAAAGCCATACCATAGCTGTGCACAGACCGTATAGAACCTCCCATCACCCAGTGTCTGCTTGCTTTCCAGGTGAGACTGTGGAGATGAGAAGGTGGTGGACACACATGATGGAATGGATTCCTCCTGCTGTGCAGCCACACCCCACTCTGCCCCGCCCTGCACCGCCCCGCTGCGCCTGCCCATGCCAGCACTTCCTTCCTATGTTTTCACATCACACTCAAACTGGTGACACCACAGGAAAGAAAGACACAAGATGGAATGGCTGTTTCCATGGACACAATCTCCATAGTGACAATGTGGGGGAGGGGGGAGGGCTGGGTTGACGGGGAAAAGGGGGGTTAAAAGGGAGGGATAAAAAATATATATATATAAATCTATTTTTAGTCTGGAAAGACTTTGTTTAAATGAAAGGTGCGCTATCCCTTTTGATTCTATTTTAAAATTATCTAGTTAACTCAAAATTTGTTCCAATGACAATGAAATTTAAATGTGAAATTGAACTGAACAAACTCATAAAGGATGGGGTGTGGCTTTGATCTTAAGCCTGTCTCACAACAATCCAGTGAACACTAGACCACAACTGAAAGAATAGACAGATGACAACCACCCTTTCCCTGGTCAGAATCAGTCTCACAGGGAAGTGGGGAGGGGAGGGGGATGGCCAGATTGGGGATGGTCATTTTCAAAAGTGCGGAAATGATGTTTAAACACAAAAATAAATGTTTTCCTTTCCAGAAACACTATTTATTTATTTTTTCCTTTTTTTTTTTTTTTGGCGGGGGGGATGGTGAAATTGGCAGATGCCCCAAGGCCATGGGTGTGTCCTGGATCCCTGTGGCCCCACCAAGTAGGCAGAGTAGCCCCGAAGCAACAGGCATACTTGAGGAATGGCTTATCCCTGGTGCCTCTTTCCTTGGCACATTCCGTGTAGCTGGGGCCTGGGGGGGACCCACAGGATTCATGGGACCTGCAGAGGCCCAGGCCTCTGCTGCTGAAACAAGCAAAGTCTGGGAAGAAACAGTGGTGTGAACCACATGGGTAGGTTAAGCTGACCAGAACCACCCACTTTAACACTTCTTTATTGCTTTCATTTTTATAATGGAAAAGGGGAGCGTGTTAGATATATGGCCCGTGCTACATGATTCTTTATGTTGTATTGTTTTTGTTTTGTATATTGTATAATTTTTAAATATATGAGTTTTAAAAAAAGAAAAAAAAAGTACAAAAAAATCTTGTTAAGGCCTTAAGAAGGGATATGTGCATCTTTCAGGGGTCACTCTGCCGTGGGGATAAAATAGCTGTTTTACAAACAGTTTTATTTAAAAAAACAAAAATCAAAAAAAAAAATGTAATAAACTTCATTTTAACCTTGTGTCATTTCTCATTTACTCCAAGTGAATGTGTCTCTTGCTTCTCTAGGATGGGCCTCCCAAAGGGGACTTTGGCTCTTATTTCTCAGAAAGCTGCCATCAGTCCTGATCCCTTTGTTCCCTGCTCTCCTGAAGCCTACGTGGTCCTGGTCAGCAGAGCCTGAAACCAAACCCCAGGGTTCTTCTCTGCCTCCGTGGGGCTGTTTTGACTTTCTGACATTGACATGGGGGCATATTCCCAAAAAACATTAATTTTTAAGAATTGTAAAAGTAAAATGCAATGTTAATGGACTTTCCTTTTTAGAAAACAAATATTGGAAATAATGTTTGAAGTGGAAGTAAGCAATTCTAAATGAGTTTTAGTGTGCTCATCAGTTAGGGGCTACGGAAATGGCTAATTTTGCTTTAATGGCTGTATAGGGCAGTGAGACCCATTTCTCATCTTACCCACCTGCATGGAGGTATGAGTGAGTATGAGTCGTGTGCTGTGGTAGCCGTGGGACTGTGCTCAGGCAGCTGGACACAACCTGAATAGAAATGATGGTTTTGAGCTGGTTGGCGTCTCTTCCCATTAGCCTGGATTAACAGTTAAAGTGAAATTGATAAATTCTAGGTGTCAAGGACTAAGCCATAAAAATTGAAAAATATGTATCTTGAGGAAAATGTTTTCCTGACAGCAGACGTTTGTCACTTTGCCTTTTATTCTTTTGTTCCCTTTCCATTTGCTGATGATACCTGAGCACAGCTTCCGTTGTGATTGTTCTACATCTTTCCTTAAACTGGATTCACTGTTCAGTTCTTGCTGGCAGTTTCCCGACTTCTGCAGTGCCATGGATCACTGTGCCTTTCAGCTCCTGCAGTTACCGAGGTCAGTGTGTGTGTCTTATAATAGATTTTTTTTTTTAAAGCAACTTTAGGTTTGCTGTAGTATTGAACAGAAGATAAGTTCCTGTGTGTCTGCAACCTCCACATATGTGCAGCCTGTCCTACTATTGACGTCCCCACTGGAGCAGCACGTTTTGGTTTTTTTTAAGATTTTATTTTATTTTATTTATTTTATGCATATTAGTGCTCTAAGAGGGCAGTAGAGGGTGTAGATGGTTGTGAGCCACCGTGTGGTTGCTGGGACTTGAACTCAGGACCTCTGGAAGAGTAGACAGTGCTCTTAACCACTAAGCCATTTCTCCAGCCCCGAGCAGCATGTTTGTTGTGGGTGACGAACCCACATGACTTATGACCACCTATCACATCTGCAGTTACGTCAGGGTTTCTGGTACTGTACACTTCATGGGTTTGCACAAATTTATGATGCTTCTGTGCCCCCGTTACTGTCTTCCTACCCTAAAACAACTGTGCCAGCTGCTCCTCCCCTTCCTTCCAAAATGTGACAGTCACTGATCTTTTTATCACCTTGATAGTTTTGCCTTTCCCAGAGTGGCGTATGGTTCGAGCCCATACAGTATATACCATTTCAAATTGTCTGCTTCCAGTTTAGTAATGCATGTTTATGGTTCTTTTCATGAATTTATGGCTATACAACATGTTTCGTTGCTGCTGTCAAAAAATACTCCATCGTCTAGATAAGCCCAGTTTCTCCTGCTTCCTGTTCATCGAAGGACATCTTGATTGCTTCCCTTTTGGGCAGGTAGGAGTAGAGCTTCCATAAATAGTGTGCAAGTGTTGGTAGGCATAAGTTTCCCCATCAGTGTGTCATGTGGTGAAGATGTTTTATTGTAAGCAGGCGCTAAACTGCCTTTCAGTGTATCCGCTTTGTATACCATTGAAGTATCCTCTCTGTTGACAGTGCTGATAGGTCTGTCTGTAGTAGGTTGTTTTCAGTACTCTTTGAAAACTATTGTTTCATTCTGTGTATATGAAAGTTTTGCCTGCAGTAATGCCTGTGTACCCTTAATGTGCCCAGTACCTGCAGAAGGTCCTCAGGACCTGGAGTTACGGGACAGTTGTGAGCTGTTACATGGGTGCTGGGAACTGAATCTAAGTCCTCTGGAAGTCAGCCAGTGAGCTAAGAGCTTAGCCATCGGGCCATTCCTCCAGCCCCTCCTTTAATTGCATATTAAAATCTTAGAGTTGCAATCCTTTTAGAAGTACGAAATAGCTTAACCATGGTTTATATGTTTTTTTCACTGGCGTTGAATTTATACATGTTTTTCTGCAACTAAGATCCAGAATTTTTTTTCCATCTTGTAAAAACCAAACAAACAACAAAAACCAAATTACTGTCCATTAAACAACTCTGAGTTTTGGTCTACTTTGCAGGTTTCAGTGCCTGTAATCTCTGGCTCCCCCCAGTGATAATTGTTGGGAGTGCAGCTCAAGAGGCTGCCCATCTCTTACGCTAGCCTCTCTATGGCATAGCTATCCCCAACAAAGGAAGAAGTATCAGAAAAATGTCCAAACCTTCTTCCTCCTAATAGACCTACACTGGCTGGCTACAGCTCCATAACTGGTTTCTAGAATCCTCAGAAAAGTATTTGGGCCACATAGGGTTCCCTGGGCAGCCTATAGGGGTCAGGTGTGGACCTAATTCACCTAATTGCTACAGTACTTTGAAGTCCAGTATCTTACAGTAGTGCTCAGCGGGCCCAGTGCGTTGTACATTTTACCCCATGATGTAGGTCCCAGGTCGTGGGCAGCTTGAATTTTTCTAAAACCATACATCTCTATCGGCGATCAGTAGGCCATCATGTGCAAGCAATGCAGTACTATGTTTACTTGGTATCACACTCTTGTAGCATGAAAACACCTGCCTCTGAGGACCCTGGGGAGGACTAGTGAGTTAGCATGTGCAGTGTGAACCGCAGTCCCTCCCACATAAATACCAATCCTTGGAAAGCACAAGCCTCATTCTTTAACTTTCCGTGTGGCTGGCCCATCCTGACCACAGGCCTCCAGCATAAGGGAAATCACTGTCTGTCCCCACAAAAAGTCACTTTGGGACAGGCTTGACACAAAGGTAAATGAAGACAGTGATTCCATTTGAAAAGCATGAGGGCCATCCGACAGACATCAAAATAGTTCTCTGCCAGGACAAAAAGTTTCTTAACCTTTCATGGCCAGATCTAAGAAGTCCACAGGTTCTGCATCTTGCCTTCCTAATCAACTGAGTGACTTCAGACTTGTTCTAAAGATCATGTAGACCCCAGCTATCTTCCTCCCGCTGCCCTTTGCTTGTCACACAGGCTGTTACAGTGGCACTTGCTGCCATAACTTAGCCTTTACTGTCCATCAGCTCCTTATTTCCTACAAACAGGAGGGCCAGAGGTGCTTGGGCCATGGAGGCTAGCTTGCCCGGCCTCTTCTTCCCTCTCCCCACCTTCATCCTCTAGCACAGGTGTTCTTAACCTGTAGGTTGTGACCTTTTTCAGAGGAAGTATCAAATGACCCTTCACAGGGGTCACCTAACAGTTACCAATTTATATCTGCAGAATTACAGTTACAGAGTAGCAACAAAATAGTTTATGTTTGCAGGGTGGGGCCCTCACTACAACGTGAGGAACTATACTAAAGGATTTGCAGCATTAGGAAGTTCGAGAGCCACTGTTCTCGCATGACAGTTAACAGCTTGGCTTAACATGAGAGAATGAAAGGCAGCCTTGGCTCCTTTGTAAGGAACAAAGCGCAATAATAATATCTCCCTTCCTTATCCTAGGTGGCTGGAGTAA